TAACTGACGTGCGCGGGCATACTAAATAAATATTTCTTATAAATTTCAACTCGATCCGACTCTTTTTCTCGAAGCTATAGCCAGTAAAAGTTCTAACTTAAAAACTCGTACGGTTTTTTTTTTTGTTTTTTCAACTTTCGCCTGTGAAGAGTTAAACTTTTTCAACTTTTACCCCCCCAAAGTACCAACTAGATGAAAATTGCGATTCATAGAGTTGCTATTCGAAGGAATTGGTCCAGTATTAAAGAAGTTACAGTGTATACAGATAAAAAAAAAACATACATCAGAGTAAAACCAATACCTTCTCGCTTTGCATCGAAGCTAAAACATTTTTCTGGATTTTTGTGAAAAAGGCATTAAAAGGGGTCAAATTATATGTTTTTGGGGTCGGTGATTACGAATTTGTTATCAGTTCTCAATTTTAATCAGCCAGAAAGAACTTAAGTAAAAAAAAAAAAAAAATTGAACTTTGTGTCAACTTAAAGTCAAAAGTGTTACTTGAGCACAAAACTCAATAGTATCATTCTGCATAGATCTACATAAAATTGTTTTAATGATTTGATAACAATTTTTTTAAGATTTTAAGTGTTTTTTGTTAAAATATACGCAATCTGCGAAAACACAGTTTTCCGGCTATTAAAAAAAAACTGTAGTGCCGAATTATTTTTCCGTTTAATATGTTATGGATACATATGAGTTCCAACTACTGGCAAATTTTCAACCCAAAGGTCTTAAAACTACGGCTAAAAACCCCGAAAAACAAAAAAACCTGTACCCCCCCTAGGGGGGTGGGCATTGGGTTAAATTCAAATTTGATATAACTGACGTGCGCGGGCATACTAAATAAATATTTCTTATAAATTTCAACTCGATCCGACTCTTTTTCTCGAAGCTATAGCCAGTAAAAGTTCTAACTTAAAAACTCGTACGGTTTTTTTTTTGTTTTTTCAACTTTCGCCTGTGAAGAGTTAAACTTTTTCAACTTTTACCCCCCCAAAGTACCAACTAGATGAAAATTGCGATTCATAGAGTTGCTATTCGAAGGAATTGGTCCAGTATTAAAGAAGTTACAGTGTATACAGATAAAAAAAAAACATACATCAGAGTAAAACCAATACCTTCTCGCTTTGCATCGAAGCTAAAACATTTTTCTGGATTTTTGTGAAAAAGGCATTAAAAGGGGTCAAATTATATGTTTTTGGGGTCGGTGATTACGAATTTGTTATCAGTTCTCAATTTTAATCAGCCAGAAAGAACTTAAGTAAAAAAAAAAAAAAAATTGAACTTTGTGTCAACTTAAAGTCAAAAGTGTTACTTGAGCACAAAACTCAATAGTATCATTCTGCATAGATCTACATAAAATTGTTTTAATGATTTGATAACAATTTTTTTAAGATTTTAAGTGTTTTTTGTTAAAATATACGCAATCTGCGAAAACACAGTTTTCCGGCTATTAAAAAAAAACTGTAGTGCCGAATTATTTTTCCGTTTAATATGTTATGGATACATATGAGTTCCAACTACTGGCAAATTTTCAACCCAAAGGTCTTAAAACTACGGCTAAAAACCCCGAAAAACAAAAAAACCTGTACCCCCCCTAGGGGGGTGGGCATTGGGTTAAATTCAAATTTGATATAACTGACGTGCGCGGGCATACTAAATAAATATTTCTTATAAATTTCAACTCGATCCGACTCTTTTTCTCGAAGCTATAGCCAGTAAAAGTTCTAACTTAAAAACTCGTACGGTTTTTTTTTTGTTTTTTTCAACTTTCGCCTGTGAAGAGTTAAACTTTTTCAACTTTTACCCCCCCAAAGTACCAACTAGATGAAAATTGCGATTCATAGAGTTGCTATTCGAAGGAATTGGTCCAGTATTAAAGAAGTTACAGTGTATACAGATAAAAAAAAAACATACATCAGAGTAAAACCAATACCTTCTCGCTTTGCATCGAAGCTAAAACATTTTTCTGGATTTTTGTGAAAAAGGCATTAAAAGGGGTCAAATTATATGTTTTTGGGGTCGGTGATTACGAATTTGTTATCAGTTCTCAATTTTAATCAGCCAGAAAGAACTTAAGTAAAAAAAAAAAAAAAATTGAACTTTGTGTCAACTTAAAGTCAAAAGTGTTACTTGAGCACAAAACTCAATAGTATCATTCTGCATAGATCTACATAAAATTGTTTTAATGATTTGATAACAATTTTTTTAAGATTTTAAGTGTTTTTTGTTAAAATATACGCAATCTGCGAAAACACAGTTTTCCGGCTATTAAAAAAAAACTGTAGTGCCGAATTATTTTTCCGTTTAATATGTTATGGATACATATGAGTTCCAACTACTGGCAAATTTTCAACCCAAAGGTCTTAAAACTACGGCTAAAAACCCCGAAAAACAAAAAAACCTGTACCCCCCCTAGGGGGGTGGGCATTGGGTTAAATTCAAATTTGATATAACTGACGTGCGCGGGCATACTAAATAAATATTTCTTATAAATTTCAACTCGATCCGACTCTTTTTCTCGAAGCTATAGCCAGTAAAAGTTCTAACTTAAAAACTCGTACGGTTTTTTTTTTGTTTTTTTCAACTTTCGCCTGTGAAGAGTTAAACTTTTTCAACTTTTACCCCCCCAAAGTACCAACTAGATGAAAATTGCGATTCATAGAGTTGCTATTCGAAGGAATTGGTCCAGTATTAAAGAAGTTACAGTGTATACAGATAAAAAAAAAACATACATCAGAGTAAAACCAATACCTTCTCGCTTTGCATCGAAGCTAAAACATTTTTCTGGATTTTTGTGAAAAAGGCATTAAAAGGGGTCAAATTATATGTTTTTGGGGTCGGTGATTACGAATTTGTTATCAGTTCTCAATTTTAATCAGCCAGAAAGAACTTAAGTAAAAAAAAAAAAAAAATTGAACTTTGTGTCAACTTAAAGTCAAAAGTGTTACTTGAGCACAAAACTCAATAGTATCATTCTGCATAGATCTACATAAAATTGTTTTAATGATTTGATAACAATTTTTTTAAGATTTTAAGTGTTTTTTGTTAAAATATACGCAATCTGCGAAAACACAGTTTTCCGGCTATTAAAAAAAAACTGTAGTGCCGAATTATTTTTCCGTTTAATATGTTATGGATACATATGAGTTCCAACTACTGGCAAATTTTCAACCCAAAGGTCTTAAAACTACGGCTAAAAACCCCGAAAAACAAAAAAACCTGTACCCCCCCTAGGGGGGTGGGCATTGGGTTAAATTCAAATTTGATATAACTGACGTGCGCGGGCATACTAAATAAATATTTCTTATAAATTTCAACTCGATCCGACTCTTTTTCTCGAAGCTATAGCCAGTAAAAGTTCTAACTTAAAAACTCGTACGGTTTTTTTTTTGTTTTTTCAACTTTCGCCTGTGAAGAGTTAAACTTTTTCAACTTTTACCCCCCCAAAGTACCAACTAGATGAAAATTGCGATTCATAGAGTTGCTATTCGAAGGAATTGGTCCAGTATTAAAGAAGTTACAGTGTATACAGATAAAAAAAAAACATACATCAGAGTAAAACCAATACCTTCTCGCTTTGCATCGAAGCTAAAACATTTTTCTGGATTTTTGTGAAAAAGGCATTAAAAGGGGTCAAATTATATGTTTTTGGGGTCGGTGATTACGAATTTGTTATCAGTTCTCAATTTTAATCAGCCAGAAAGAACTTAAGTAAAAAAAAAAAAAAAATTGAACTTTGTGTCAACTTAAAGTCAAAAGTGTTACTTGAGCACAAAACTCAATAGTATCATTCTGCATAGATCTACATAAAATTGTTTTAATGATTTGATAACAATTTTTTTAAGATTTTAAGTGTTTTTTGTTAAAATATACGCAATCTGCGAAAACACAGTTTTCCGGCTATTAAAAAAAAACTGTAGTGCCGAATTATTTTTCCGTTTAATATGTTATGGATACATATGAGTTCCAACTACTGGCAAATTTTCAACCCAAAGGTCTTAAAACTACGGCTAAAAACCCCGAAAAACAAAAAAACCTGTACCCCCCCTAGGGGGGTGGGCATTGGGTTAAATTCAAATTTGATATAACTGACGTGCGCGGGCATACTAAATAAATATTTCTTATAAATTTCAACTCGATCCGACTCTTTTTCTCGAAGCTATAGCCAGTAAAAGTTCTAACTTAAAAACTCGTACGGTTTTTTTTTTGTTTTTTCAACTTTCGCCTGTGAAGAGTTAAACTTTTTCAACTTTTACCCCCCCAAAGTACCAACTAGATGAAAATTGCGATTCATAGAGTTGCTATTCGAAGGAATTGGTCCAGTATTAAAGAAGTTACAGTGTATACAGATAAAAAAAAAACATACATCAGAGTAAAACCAATACCTTCTCGCTTTGCATCGAAGCTAAAAAACAATGGTTATTTTCTTAGCACCACGGAAAAACATTTAATTATGGACATGTTTTCTCTTGTCATTTATGTCATATAAATTATTCCCTATTTTTAATCTCTTATCACTTATCTTTTGACTCTTATCTCTAACTGCAAGTGAATGTATAACGCAAAAATGCTGACATGGAATTTCTTGTATCTAGTCCAATTAATATATCCATGTTAAAAATGGCAGAACATTTAGGTCGTGACGTAGAGGAGACGAGGAGGTCACAGATCTACAGGAATTATTATTATACCTGAAAGTAGAGTCCCGACTATCCCGGCTAGAGTCTACTATCCTGAGTCTGTGGATAGGACGTTCAAACCAGTACAGTCCAAACCAAGTATAGTATAAAGTCACACGGTATAACGGACGAGTTAAAGCAGACGTGCCAACCATATTTAACTATAGTTATAATATGATTAGATTATGTTGAAATAGCTAAAATCAGTATTATTTTTCATAAAGTTTCCACTTAAATTTTAAAGTAAAGTTTAAGATTTATATCACAGATAAATTTGTATACAGTTTCGAAATATTTAGCCCTTCTAGCATTGTTTACCCATCAAATATTTATCGTCATAAACAATTATTTCAATGAGATACTCCAGTCCATCTAGATAAAAAAAAAAAGGTTTAATGTAAAAAAAAAGTTTCAAATTAAATCATAATACAAATGAACTAAATTAAATGCGTCAAGCAATGACCATTAAACTTCACACTACTCCCATTATTGGGTTTAATGCTCACTGCCTAGAGTTAACTGTGCTTGTACATTTTGTAGTTAACTATAGATCCTTAAATCTAAATATTATTTAATATCATAATTGAAATAATTGAAATATATAAATAACAGTTAATAGAAACTATTATTTTGAATTTATAAATCATTTGACGATTAGGCGACTATTAAAAACAGCTATATATTAGTATAATAGTTTAAAATACATATTACTTCTATTTTGATATTTAATTTCACTAGCTTTCTGGATGAGTAGGTCTGTAGTTTTTAAAAACGGTTATAAGAACAGTAAAATTAAAAAACATAAATATCTGTTTTTCATAAAACAAAATTGTTACTGACTTGCAATGAAAACATCCCTCTTATAGTCCACTGTAAAGATGAGTTAAATATTAAATTGTTTTTCTTTTTTTACTACCTCGTGTAGGTAAATAAGAAAACAAAATAATTACTTAGATCGTATGCCGAAACAATTATAAACAACAATGATATAAATACACAGAATAGTTTCATTTTAATCTGCAAACAATAATAAACATAAAAGTAGTTTATATTTTTCGCAGTCTTCGGCGAAGAGTTGCAAACGTTTTGGTTTTACGGTTACGTTTTTTATTTCATATATTTTTTGAATAGATCTACTGCTATCTTTTATTCTTTACTTTACTTTGATATTTCCCAATTGCTTTTCAAAATTGAAAAATAATCGAAAAAGGACATATTTTTCAACTTAAAACTAAGGCATACATTGTAATCTTATTAAAAAAGTTTAATTAGTTCACTGATTGTATGAAATTTACTTTCAAACGTCAAAACCATTTTTCCAGAAAGGGTTGACATTTTTTGTATGTAGCCTTATTAGGGATCATTTTAGAGCTTATGGTCTGAAAATAGATCTATAGAGGTGCTATGATATTTACATTTTTCTCAAAAACGTTTAGTCAAATTTTTTTTTATGGAAAATTGTTGAAAAAGGTGAAAATTACACTTTGGCCGTAGTAAATATCTAGGACGTAATTTAAAAGTGAATCGACAGTCAATAGACCCGCAAAATATGTTAATAGAAAAGACGATCAACCCTAAATGTATACTTAAATGTACTTTATCAAAATTATTTTTAGTTTATCCGTTCTCCTAAAAAATAAGAAAAGCAATAGTCTTACATAATTTAAGCTTGCCTAAATAAATACTTCGTAAAATGTAGCCTACAAGATTGTGTAATATCTTATTTGTATTTACTTTGAGGTCACTTAATCTGAAATTATTATTAGTTTAGTAATTTATTGGCCACTCATTAAGAGAGACATTAAGGAGTTAATTTTTAAATGTATTTATTTAAGATACAAAATAACAAACACAATATTGTATCTTAAATACGTATTTTAAATGAAATAATATCATATTGTGTGCTTATCTTAAAGCTAAGAATTAGTACTTACTTAAATTATTAAAACTGTGTAGTTTTTAAGACAAAAATCAAATCGGTTAGCTTGATGAACTAACTGTTTCAAAGTGACATTCTGTTTCGTTTTGTCTATATGCTCCTATTTCGATCGAAACGGAAAAAATCAAAATATATTTTGCGGCGGCCTACGTTAGTTTATTTACATAGCTGTTGTATTAAATTTTTAATAAGTTTAAAATTTATCTGACTCATAGTTTAGTATTTTGGCTATTATAATAATATAATTTATACACTTAAATAAAAATAAATGAAAATGATACTTAATTAATGACAAATAAAATGTTTAACACTGAAATATTTACATTGAATATTTACATTAAGTGCGATTCACCACGTGCACAAACTGTTATATTATGCGTAGTCTACATAGGAAAAAAGACATTTTCAACCAAATAGTAAAAACAAAACAAGTTACTACATTAGAACATGTATAAAAAATTTAAAATATACCAAGACACTGACCAATAATAAGTAATGATAAATAATTAACAAAGTAATAAAAAAAGTATATAAATCCATTAATAACATACAATTTAGACAGGAAGTGGGTAGGTAAAGTAAATATCTGTAGTTTAGATCCACTCATTTACAAGTAACATTATACTGTTTTATTTCGAGTGATCGAAGAAAACCTGTATATAAAAACAGAGTTTTTTTTATCTATAAATTGTCATTAAGCGAAAGTGCTAGTCCCTGCGCAAATACCGGTTCTCCATTGCAGTTAAACTTAATAGACCAAAATGAACCATTCGTGAACACAGACTTTCATACATACGACAATAGTGGTAAACGAAACGAGATTGTCTCGTCGAATCATCTATTTATTTACTGATAAGCCTATTTTTAGATAGTAAAAAAGTTCAACTCCTCTGGTTGCCCAGACAGTCCGGCATCTTTGGTAATGAAGTTGCAGATAACCTAGCGTTCTATGCCACACCTATCCCTCCTCCTCCTTCCGAATTCCACTCTATAATCTCTTCCGAATTTTCTTAAAATTATTGTATTTAAATGCCTGGCAAACCAAGTGGCATTATCTTCCTCGAAATTATGTTGCTAAGTATAGAGAGAGTTCTCCAACAATTTGTCGTATCCCATGATTTTGTAAAATCATCTCTACCTAGAACCCTTATTACTTCCTTTATCAGACTTCGTCTTGGCCATAACTTTCTACCCACTCATGCCTTTCATCTCTCTATAAACTCATCTTCCTGTTGTACACTTCACCTTAATGAAAACATTTCTAACTTTAATAGAAAAAAATGATGTTATTATCTATTAAATGTTATCGAACCCTCTTTTTCGAAAAAAGTGTTAGTTACGTGGTATTGCAGTGACAATCACTATATGTGAATTTAGTATTGTAACAAACATCCTCCAATTAATGTTACAAAATCATATCTATAATATTTGCCCACTAATTTACAAAAGGTTATATCAAATGTATGACTTATTGCATACACAGATTCCATGACTCAATAAATAATTATATTAAAAAAATGAATGTAATGTGTGCCTATAATAACCATAATTTTTATTTGGACCAATTATGTATTTATTTTCTGTTGACACCTATTTTTTCTTAATCAAATAATTTAATTTTTTGATTTTTGTTTTGTAACTTTAAAAAATAATAAAAATTAAAAGAAAATATATACAAATATTACTATCAGAACTATTTGTATATATATAATTTATATTATTATAATATTTATTGAACATTTCGATTATAAAAAAATTAATTAATACTAAATGTTAATATCTAATAGTATGAACGCTTTCCTACATCAGGAGTTTTATAATTTTTAAATACCTTGTCTCTTAATACTCCTAGCTACAATAAAAACATATAATAACTGTTTTACATGTATATAAATGTATAACACATACGTATTATGCATATTGGTGTACAATACTTAAATAAATAAATTTACCTAACTTTGCTATAACTAGCAAGTAACTCCAAATTCGATTGTTGGTCGGATTAGGGGCTACTTCGAATGAAAGTTACAACTGGGCTAGTACACATAAGTCACGAATTTGGTCATAATCGTGAGAAAAATTGTTTAATACAAAATACATTAAATTAATTTATAATATGATTTAGTACTATAATATAACTGAAGAATTATATTTTTAATTTCTGGTTTAAAATTTAAAAAACTGTTTCCTGTGTGGTTATACTTTGGTTGTACACTAGGCATACTCTCCTCATATGAAAATATATTAGGCCTTTAGACTTACTCTTGGTCAAAATAATATCATATATAAATATTATAATAATACATAAGCAAAATATGCGTTTACAATTGTGAGTAAAGCAGTTTATTATGAAATACAATGATTTAATTGACGATTTGATATTAGTGCAATACACAAAAATGATTGATATATTAGAAAAATAGTACAATATAACTTTATAAAAGTTTTATTTTTGACTTCTGGTCTAAATTAGCATATTTCTTCCCCGAGTAGTTGTGTCTTTAGCTGCATTATTTGAAATCCACTGTTTTCGGCGTCTACTTGCCAATATTTGTTACCAATGAATGCGTATTTTTTAACGTGACCGACTTCATCCTTTATGACACAACACTTATTATTGTCAACTTCAGCAGATTTAATATAAAAAGTTGGGATTTTTGTAGTCATCCACAACCCTATAAGACAACACAACCGTTCATATGTCATTGCTAAATCGTATCTAACTGAAAAATAACAAAAAATTGTTTTTATAAAAACATGGTATATTTGGATTACTCGTTTAGATTTAGGTTGAAACTTTTATTTCTTTACAGTTAAAACCGCTACACGTGTAAATAAGTAAAAAAAATAATAATAATATAATATACGTGGCGTCTTTATTGTATAGCCATGCGATATTTAGTCAATAAATTATTTTATGACAGAAATACTGCTGGACACTGTGTACATCATAACATATTGATCATAAAATTTGTATAAAATATATTTAAAATAAGAAAAAATATAGTTTAATTTATAATATAGATATATTCAATTTAATATTAAACATGTCATTCGAAAAGTTTTCCCTTGTTAAATGTACATAACACTGTAGTGAATTAAGTATTATAGAAAAAGTGTATGTATGGAGACAAGATACTTAAAAATTGATATTCTAGTCATACTTATTAGATATTTGTTAAGAAATGAATTTCGATTTATCTTTGTTATATTGTAAGAAGTTATACTTTAGAATTGGCGTTAATGCGTATTGCACAAACGACGAACCATACGAGTCTAAACGCAGTTAAGAAACAAGAACGAACTTTGAATATGCCGGCTTGTGTGCAATATTGTAAATCTTATCGGCTACATCGAAAAAAAAATGAATCAATGATATGTTTTAGGTTATTTTCTAAGTCAGTATTGATAAGAGATCAGTTTAGTTAATAATTTTAAAGAAATCGGTTGAAAATTGACAATTCGTTATTTGTAACCAGAAATCCTGGTCAGCGGAGAGGAAAAGGGTGAAAGAAAAGTTCTAAGGGTTAGATAGGGTGTAAGATGTTAGAAAATGATGCATGAGGTTGAGAGTTGGACGGTAATGGGGAAGAGTTTTATGAAGTATAAGAGTGTAGAAGAGGCTAAGAAATGCTAGGAATGGGTTGAGGAGGGTAGGGAATAGGTTTCGAAGCTGGAAGAGGTCCAGTCGCGCTAAACATGCCAGATTAAGCCAAAAACATATGCATGTTCAAAACAAAATTGCTCAAAAGAATTAAAAAAAAAAAAATTGATATTTTAAAAAACAATTATAGTTCAATTTACCTATATTATGGATTTTACGATTTCTATCATTTTAATTAATCAAGTAAAACAAATATATTTATGACTGTAGTAAGGATTTAAAATGTCTTTGGAATGTGCAAAACTATAAAAATCATTGTTAAAAAAATTACTGAAATTAAGATGTTTTTATAGGCCAATTATATTAATAAGACGTATATAGTATCAACAAAAAATCAACACCATGATAACTCTATAATAATGTATACCTATCGCATAAAGAAGTATTTTTTTCAAAGCTTTTCCTGTAAGACGTCTTCTTTCTTTTCCAAGATCGGTTAAATTTACGTTAGCCATATCTGCAAAAATGAATTCTCGCGATACATAATTTTATTAAATGTCAAAAAACGGTGATTTTATGAAAATAATTGTTTTCATTAGTATCACTGAGACACGTATTAGCAAATATAAATTAGGTCTCATCCTCTCTCCTAAAAATTTAATGTTTACTTTATTTTAATTATTGTTTTGTAAGAAAAAAAACAATAAATGTTATTTTTAAAACAAGCATTAAGGGATATACTTGACTATTCAATACATTATTAATTACTTGGGTCTGGAAGATTAGGCATAGGAATAGCTGTAACAAAATTATAACTTAACAAATAGTTTGCACACTAATTAAAAGCCATATTTTATAATTAATCCATAATAGTCAACCTAAATTTGGGACTAATTAGATTAATTAATAAATGTGACCTCAAAAAAATTAAATAATTACACACATAAAGTACATCTTAATTAATATCTATAAGATTCACGATAAAATTGCGACCAATAAGAATTATTTATTGATGCAATACCTTATATTAATATCAAATTATTTTTAATAGCCACGTTTACACTAAAGATTAGAATTATATTTTAAAGGATCATCAAAAGCTTTGGTGAAAACAAAAAGTTTTCTGACTTTGAGCTTCAATCGAAATTTTACATTTTCTCTTTAGAACTCCAAACATGTACCTAAATATCATAAGAATGTGTTGAAGTTTTCACGGGTTAAGATTTCACGAGGATGACTTTTATATCCGTGTCAATAGTTGAAGGTGGAATGTGCAAATACCCCGAAACGTCGGCTAATAACTACTGACACGATATATATTTGAAAATCTTCTACGAATAATGTTTACTTAGAAATATTATACTTACATAATATGTCGATCATTTCTTGTGCCATTTCTGTATAATGATCTATGGAGTCTGAAATTTGAAAAAAAATAGTTTTGAATGTACAGGTGTCTTCTGATTGAATCCAAAAAAAGGTACAAATTTAATCTCGGTATAAGTAAACAATGAACGTAAGTAAAGTATTGTAAATATAAAACATAAAAATGTGGTTACTCTGTATGTTTACGAGGTCTGCCTTTTCTGAAATGAAAACGAAATTATTGTATACTTAATGAATATCAAACATTAATGGCATGGAAAAATGTCGAATGATGCAATAGAAGTTATTACCTGGTACAGCGAATAAAATACTCATGTCTTCTGAAAATATCATTCCCTAAATTAATGATATCTTTCAAGATTGAATGTATGTTATATATATAAGTAATTCGAAAAAATTTTTTTTGCATAAAGATTTTTAGAATTTTTGTTGCAACTCTTATATAAATATCAATTTTTTTTTCTACTAGCAAGCTTCATTTTTTATATTATATTGATTTTTATATAAATACTACTACCCATTGAAAATTGATTTTCATAAACAATTGCTTTAATAAGAAACTCCAATCCATCTATAATAAACAAAAAAAGGTTTGAAGTTTTTTTTTATAAGCAATTTCTAATAAAACCATAATACATAAAAAAATAAGAGTTCGCCATCTTTTAAATGATGCCTATTAAGCTTAGCACTACTTCCTCTGTTGGATTACATATCCACTACCTAAAGTCAAGTGTGCCTTTTTTTAATTATAGAAACTGCCAATGGCGGCTCGAACCTATGACGTGTTGTCACGCCCCCTTATCAAAATTATAAAAAAAAATAGTTTTATTATATTATTAAGAACTGAAATAGTTATAATTCTTAAACTATATTTATTATATTATTTATATATTTCGAGAATGATAACTTTAATATATGTTAATATAATTTACATAGTCTGCCAAAATAGGTTATAAGACTCTGCCAAAAGTTACTCCCAGATTTTCCGACGTGCGGCAGCTAGGAATTGTGGACATTAAAATCGGGGTTTGATTTATACATATAAGGCGGTATATATTTTATTTTTTTTTAGTTTCTGTATACTATTTAATTTTTATTAAAATCTTTTAAATCTTGAATATGCCAAATTTCATATAAATTGAACGATATGAACATACGCATCAAATCTTCCGAAACACTAACCATAGTGCCCAACCAGCTGAATGACAAAAATTTTAAAATCGATAATTTGTTGGTTATCATTTTAATGGAAAACATAAAACTTAATAACGATTATTTCACTGATCTCGCGATTTAAAGAAAAAAATTAGAAATAATGAAACATTAATATATATATATATATATATATATATAATAAATACTATTATCTTAAATAAAAACAAATTTGAGTGATTCCAACGATTAGTTTTTATTTAGCTTAAAATACTGAACAGAAATCATTGTCTAGCATTTTAACATAAATTACCATGGAATGCAAAAACGACATTAATGACCCAAAAAGAAATCCCTACTAAATATACAAATTTTAGAATAAGTTTGCTTAGGTACTTTGAACCGTAAACGGTGTCGCTAACTCAATAATGCAATTTTGTCTAAGCAAAAAAAATGTGTATCCAGCCCAAAAACATAATGTTATATAGAATAAAATATTATATTATATTTCGTAAATCAAATTAAACAACTATGCTCGTATATTAGTTAATTAATTTTAAATTTATATATACATATAAACATATTACTTCCATTTATATCATTACGGTCAGAAGCATTCTGGATGATTAAGTCTGTAGTAAATAATTAAAAAAATATCAATGAAAGCTGTAAAATTAATTAAGAACTCAATAAGTTCTGTATAATAATAAATGTTACCAACTTGTAATAGAAACTACCCTCTTATAGGCCACTGTAAGAGGAGGTTAATATTATATTTTATTTTAGATTTTTAATTACCTCACGTAGAAAAGTAAGAACATAAAATAATTACTTATATCAGCCGAAACATTTACAAAAACAAATGATATTACAACACAGAGTAGTTTCATTTTTATCTGCAAAGAATAATAATCATAAATCTGTTGGTCACAGTCGCTTCATATGCAGAGATAAAAAAGTTTTACAATGATTTTTTATATTGTCGAATATACAATTATATATATATTTTTATATTTAGATCCCTAAGATTACCTAATACGCTAAACAGATTTTTTCATGTATGTAATTATCAGTGCACCATCATAAATCTACGTTTTTTAAAAAACATTGTCAATTGGCGCTGTTTATAACATTTTTATTGTCTTATACAAAAATAGCTATTAGTAATAAATCTTAATTACTATACGATATTTTCAAAATTTACGGTTTTGGTATAAGGTAGAACCGATAATCAATTCCGTCGATATTGACCATATCGTTTATTGGTTATTTTTGTCGTGTATATTTTTTTGAGCTAAGGGTCTACCTAGAATAAGCGTCATCGATTTCCCGATATCTTTTTCCCAACAGTGATAAAAAAATAACTGATTATGTATGCTGATAAGATACACCTGATAAAGCATAAGTGATAGGATAATAATTATGAGAGACAGCATATAATAGCTTCTGATAAAATAAAATAAAAAGTTATCAGCTCATGCCTACATTTTAGTAAAATGGATAACAAGGGCAACAAACTATTATAGACGAACGATAGACTTTAAATCTGAGTATTCTGAGTAGATGAAATTTTACTAAGCTATTAGTTCTAAAACAAACAAAAATGGCTTATACTAAAAGAAAAAAATATTGTAATTAAAATAATATTTTAAAACTTATGCAAATCAGCCGATAAATTAATTGACATTGTCGAAATTTACTAAAATCTTTTTTTTATTAAATATTGCCTACACAAAACTCCACAAAAACAGCCCGCATGCAATCCCCTTAATATAAAAAAAATATCAATTTTTTTTTTGGAATTCATTGTCTATATTTGATTAAAATTGTACTTACATATTTTGAACCTTGAAATTATTGCTTTTAAAATTTATTCTTAAGATAAAACTTTTAAGACAAATACCAAAACGATCGAATAATTGTTAAACTCGTTATTTTAAAGTGAATTTTTACATCTTAGGTATAGACTTATTCTTCTACCAGTGAAGTAAAATCTAAACTGTTTTTGCAGAGTCACTATACTAATTTATTTACATAGCTGTTTTTTTTTAATGATTTTTAATTTGCGTTACACTTACGTATAGTGTGACTATGTTCTTCAAATTTATTTGTTTTACAATCACCCAAAACACTAATGTTTACATTAAAGTTGACATTTTATTTATGTGGTCCAACTAAAAACTTAGTCAAAATTGTGTTATTAAATATATTAGAATTATTAAAATAAAATTGTATAATATATTTAAAAAGTCTTTATAATAATTATTCTGTATTCTAATTATACTTTATATATCTTACTTGTTGTTATTTTTTACTTTATATTACTAAAAATTAATTTCATAAAAAAAATCTCAAAATAATCAAATTGAACTGCTTTTTAAATTAACCGTTTGAAAATGGGAATTGTACGATTTAAAGATGGGCTAATTTTATATTACTAAAAGTTTAGAATCTGAATAGGATCTTGCAGGGTACCCGTGTAAATTTATTTACAAAGCTGGTTCATTTTTAAAATTTAATTAATGATGTTTAGACTGTGTTCTTTAAAGCTATTGATTTATATTGACTCATACATACAGGGTGTTCTAGCATGAAAGGTAAGTAATAGGTTATTGGACATCTGGGGATCTCCAAATAATCTTCTATTACTTATCATTTACTTCTGGTTTCTAATCATTTTTATCTTATAGTTTTATGTTAGGGCCCGTAATGGACTGAAAATGATGAGACCCCTTTTTTAAGGTGAGCTTTTTGCACTGATTAACAGGACATAATTTTTTTTTTTAAGTGATTATTTTTTTACTTAACTGTCGAATCCTTTAATTTTTGCCTTATCGAAAAAATGAAAACGGGGAGCTTATTTGGGGGTCCCCAGATGTCCAATCACCTATTACTTACCTTTCATGCTGGAACACTATGTATAATATATTAGATAATTGGATTATCCATTAGATAATTGCAACTCAATTTTTTTTTATAAAGCCTAACTGTGTATTTTGTCATACACAAAAATGTATTATTTATTAAAGTATAGAATGGAATGTTTTGAACATTTTAAGATGTTCACATTTTCAAAATCTTATTTAAAACATATTAAAAACGTTTCATTATTTTATTGAGAACAATGATTGTTATTGATGACTTATGGCCACTTTTTTATTTTAAATTCTTTGTATAAAACGTTTATATTAAATTTATTTTGTTTTTATTCAAAACAATATAAACATATTGACAACACCCCAATTCCGGCCTATGATCTTTTAGGTCTTTTCCCTGTAAAATAATATTAACGAATATGAAAAAATACGGTTCTCTATAACTATTTTTTAATTAATCTAATTCGTTCCAAATTTGTATGGAATATTTTAACATGGATATGTAATTAAGTTGGATACAAGAAATTTCATGTCGCTATTTTCGCGTTTTGCTAAGAAATAAGTGATAAGAGATTAGAGATTATTGATAAGAAACTCGAAATAAGTGATAAGATATTAGAGACCGGATATAAGAGATATTATTTAAGTAATAAGTGATAAGTAATAATAGATAAATAATAAGATGTAAGTGATATGTACTACAATAAACCGCAAAAACATATACACGGTTTAATGTTTTTCCATGGAGTGGAGAAAATACTAGTTTTTTTAAACATAGTACTACCGATGAATATTGACAAAAAAAAAAAGTATCAACACTTTATGCAGGTACATCAATACATGGATATGTCCTGATAATTATATGATTATTTTCGATTTATAATCTCCTTGCGATAATAGTTTTAATTCTATGTTCTGGCCAAACTTTTTTTATTAGTTTTATAATATCTAGCCTTAATTTTTTTACAGGCAATATTTATCAATATTTAACATTCCTCATAAATTAATTTCCGTGGTTCGCCAGTAAGTAAGTGCCTACCTAAAATTTCATTTGACTATCCTTATGATAGTATCCATTCTGTCTAACTTACGCATTATACTGTGTTTGGTTCGGACTGTACTAATATGAACATACTATTCACGGATTCGCATCGGAGCGTTTATTTATCACTTTCATTTAAAATAAATTTTTTTTATTTGTTGTTTCCACACTTATTTTTTTAATACTGGGCCGATTCACTGGATTTGCTTCTCTAAGGATGACTTGTTGTATGAGGAGGCTGGTCGTATAAATTGTGAAGTATGAACAACAAATTTTCTAATTTTTTATGTGTTACCACTGTGAAAACCTTTGATGGATTTTTTTAATTTAAAATATTAATAAGTTAATTAATTTAATTTAGCTTTCAAGTATAAATATTTTTTAATTAATTATACTACACAAGAAATAACAAAGTCAATAAAAGTAAAATTTATTTTAATAAGTGTGTGATTTATATTACATTTATTTAAGACGTCATTGAAACCAATAAATCTAAAAATAAACACTACATAGATTTTACCTGTTGAAAAAAAAAAGTAGGTAATGTAACAAATTATACCTTATAGGTTATAACTTATAACGCTTTGACGTGCCATGTTTAATGTATTTTATAATAATTTTTGAACTGGTTACCATTTTTATACGGAAAAAAAAACAATTGAAACTTATTTAATCCTTATGTCTATATTACTAAATTTACTGATATTATTCACTCGGGTTTGGAATAGTAAAGACGGTTACGTCCGTCTCCGCATCGTATTTAAAACCAAGCTTACTCAAATGCTTGTCTATATAATCCGTGTAAGAGTCCAGTGTGTTAACATAAAAATCGTAGCGGTTCATAATTACAGTTCTTAGATTTTTATATTTAGTCTCCAATTCTTCCAAATCGAATACAGGAAGTTCTGGTTTACAGTCTGTGTTTAAAAGATTCTCCAAGTATTCCACAACAGGCGTGATTTCCCAGTTAAAACCTTTGGATTTGATTAAAAGTTGAACACCATACAAACGCCCGTAAAGCGCACTTAGATTTATAGCTCTGTCGACAGAATGCAGCAGTTCCAATGCGCGCAACAAGCTTAATGTAGTTAACACTAGCGTTTCGAGACTATTGTTCAGTTTCCTCCAACAATCGTCTGCGACAAACTTTTGTTGGAAACTTTTACACTCTTTGACCGTATGGACCATTAGTCTGAAAAAGTTATAAAATTTTGATCCGTAACCGCATACCATCATACAAGGGATAACATTAAACTTCTGTATCGCGCGGTTTATGACATCTGGATTGGGCAAATCACATTTCTCCACCCACTGCGTTTCGGCTTTGACCTTTTCGAACCACATCTCTTGCCAATGTTCCGGTCTACATACATAGTTGACAAGTTTCATTTTATGTCTAGTGTATGCGCCGTCACACATCGTATTATTTTTTATGCATATAAGGGCTATGGCAATTAAAAACTTAATGATGACAATTTTTCGCATGTTAAATTCGTTTAGGTGCCCGATTTTTTTTTTTTCAACGAAATGAATATGACCTGCCTGGTCTACAACAAAAACGAAAATATCTAAATTAAATAGATTTGTGCCACGTACTAAATGCCAATACTCCGAGCAAAAACGAATAGACAAGATTTTGCTAAATATTCAATACTGGTTTTTTGCTTGGAACAATTGTATTATTACCACAAATCATTTAAACATCAAATTTTATTTTGCTATAAGTTTAATAGAATTGCACTAAAAAAAGTGTACAAGACACAGTTTTTGTTTAACATGTACAAACTAGATACTATTAGATGCATCTACTCTGAGAACCCTTTTGAGTCCAGTAAATAAATTACAATAAAATACTCTAATAAAAAACATAGTTCAACGTTTATAATTAGTACTTTTTCTTAAGAATTTTTCGGGTGTTTTTTTAAATTTTGAAGAAGATCTTTTTTTGTAGACTTGCTAAAAAAATAGATACAAGACACAATATAAAAATGTTAAACATATTCATTAATAACAATTATCGTCAAAATTACAATTAATGTTATCAACTTAAAAGTTAAAAGTATAAAAAATAATAATTCCTACAATACATATTAAGCCAAATAATATGATAAAATTAAAAATTAATAGAATAATAATGTGGTTAAATTCAAAATCTAACTTAGCATTTTATACAAAATTGTACCGACTTATATTTAAGATACAAAATACAAAATAGAATTTTGCATCTTCAATACGTTTTCAAAATTAAAGTATTTAAAAAAATTTCCTACTTACATATTTTTTAACTTTATGGTAGGTACAGCATACTTAAGCGATTCGATTAGATTGAGAAACTGTTTTAAAGTGACATTCTTGGGTCTTGCTTATGGGATTATATGTCCACCGAAAAGTAAATTTTTACCTATGGTGCCTATGTTGAATTATTTACATAGCTGGTGTATTTTTTTAAATTATAATTGTACAATATTTTGACGCAGAGTTTAAATTATTAAAATTTTTTTTTTTAGTTTTTGGTTTTCTACATTATACATCACGTGTAACCTAAAATTATTTGGGTATAAGCCTATACGAATTTATTTACAAAGCTGGTGTATTTATTTGTATTAAAAAAACGATTCACACTTACTTACAATTATAAATTTGTATTAAATAGGTATCAGCATTTTTCATAGTGATACATATTAATTAATTTACATTATAGAATACACATTTTTAATTTGCTTTAAAACTATAAGGGATTAGTTTTGCTTTTTATTCTTGTTATGACTTATAAGTCAAGTGCCACTACGTTAACTTACTACTTCTCAATTGAAAATTTAAACTGTATTTTCAAACCTAGTTGTCGGTAAATCGAATAAAAGCCTAATTGTTAAATAATTATTTTGTATAAGCAAAATTGACTTAATTAATAATTACTTTATTTTAAAAAAATTTGATTTATTTAATTAAAAAAAAACAGGATTTGGAACTAACACTACACGCCAACATATTATGTTAACAGAAATTATTTGGCTCATAACGATGTAATATTTTTTTACAAATAAATAAATGCAGAGCAAAATGGTGTTTTTGCAAATAATTTGTTATTTTATTAGATTGGTTGCTAAATAGTAAATAATAGTAAATATCAGAAATTGTAGGTAGGCACTCCAAAAGTATAATATTCAAAATATTTCTTTTGGAAAACATTTAAAAACTTTTTGATTAATGGATTTTTTTGTAAAACCATAAATGATTTATTTTGGTTTTTTTTGTGACATTTACGCACCGCCAAAAGGTCATAATCTGTCTTTCACAATTGTGAGAAATTTCGTTTTTGTTTAAATTTGAAGTTGAGAAAAATATCAACTGAATATTTATTTAGACTGGACAATATTGTTTGACATAATATTTTTACCCGTATAGTGCACATCACTGCTAAAATTAATAAAACCGGAATAACATGTGAATAGAAAATTCCATTGGCAGAAAAGGAATATTTTTAGATAGATTTTCAGATAAAAATTTGGTCAAAATTACATCTTTAAACAACGATGTTTAAGTCTTTGATATAGGAAACATATAGTAAAGAGAGATGAGAAATTTTTGTTATGCCTTGTTAATGTTAAATTATGTATGGGAGTATGTTGAGGACGGGTCTTCTTAAAAATATTAAAGCAACTCTAGATATTTTGTGTATGCAAGGAAGAAGTCATAGAATGTCTACAGAAAATGTAGATTGCTATTTTTTTTTATAGGTTCTTCAAGTGTATCCGATGAAAACACATTTTAGTGAGAACCGCATAAGCGCAACTAAAAGAGGGGCTTGGGGTGCTTTATCGGGAAGGTAATACAATAAATCAATACAATTTGTCATTGTCTGCTATTGTTCGCACGAGTTATTTGATTAGTGCATATTTATTATTGGTTTTATAAAGTAATAAAGGCACGAGTTCTAAGAAAAACAGCAATGTGCACGATACCTAAAATAGTTATGGCTGATTCGAGATTGTTGTCAACTTATGATTTACTATAATGTTTGTTGTTCACAAAGCTAGCACATCATTCTTTCAACGTATATTCAAATGGTTTTTTAGATATTCTAGAAAACTATAAACCCGTGTTAGAGATTGAAAAAAACAATGAGCCATAAAATATGCAAATTAAGTTATTTATAAAGAAGAGCTGCTGGTTTTTACAATTTAAGGATTGGTAATACAAATTTTCAAAATATTGTACAATGTGTACCAAAAAGTCTTGGAAAAAAATTTTGTCAAAATAATAATATATCGCGAGAAAATGAGTGTCTTATCCTTAATGAATCACCTTGTGTACAAAATTTCAATCAAAAATAAATAACGAAATAAAAAAATGTTAACATCAGTTATACAAGTAATTTAAAAAAATAACTGAGAAGTCAATACTTAGTCTAAACACCATGTGAAATAATAATTTTATCAACATGAAAAAAAGCAAACCAGCTATGCAAATAAACAAACATATGTACCCATATAAATATATTTAAATTGGTATTTCTTCCATCAAAATATAAGCCTATTTACCAAAGAAAACTGCTTTAAAACTGTTCATTTAAAAAAACTCTACTAAGTGTTTATTGTCTTAAAAATTGTAAAAGCTTAATATTTTATGTAAGCATAACTATCAAATTCCTCAAATTGTAATTAGGCTTTCAATCAGGTATGGAAAAATTATTTTGATATATATTTATTAAGAAATAATAATACAAAACAGAATTGTAATTTATATCACAAATAAATAAGTCTAGGCCATTTTAAGTACAATTTACAAGTACATATAATTTTATAAACTTTCTACCACTTAATTTGTTAAAATTTAGGTATTAGAAATGAATTCTTTTACATTGTGGAGAGGAAACATTCATTCTTGGGCCTAGTTTTTGGAATTTATTTATCAAAATTTATATAAGAGTTTATCTAGAGTGAGACTCTAACAAATACATTACTTTTTTTTATAAAATCTGTATAAACTCTTTTATAATGTATATAAAAAAACAGCTAGAATTTATTCCGAATAAGGCCGTTTTAACCAAAAAAATTATAATTAAAATTAGCCGGTTAAGAGAAATGGGCATTATTTCGTTTGGCGAACATCATTGTAAAACCAAAACCTTCTAATCTTTGCACCAAAGTAGACAGTAAATAATATGGATTGATTTTATGTTTATTTTTATTTGCAGATAAAATGAAAATTTTCCGTATTTTACTATCACTTTCTTTTGTATATGTTTTGGCCGATATAAGTAATTATCATGTTATCATACTTACCGAGTTAGCAAGAATCGAAAAATATATCAATCAACATTTTTTCTTTACAGCGGCTTATAATAGTTTGCTCGCCATTACAAGTCAGTAACATTTTTTATCATAAAGCTTACATTTTCGAGGTTTTTAATTATATATTTTTTTAAACATAATTTTTAAAAAAACATTTAAAAACCTAAGACACACACATCCTGCAAGCTTCTATTTATACTGATCCTGTAAAAGGAAGTAAGATATTATATTTCATATCATTGTAATAATAAACAATTAAATTTTTTTATCGCCCGATTGTCAAATAATTTATAAATTAAAAATGAGTAATTCTATGAAAGATTTATGTTTTAGGGTTCACAAGGTAAAAAGAACCAGTGTTTGTTTTATTTTTAAATTCTAAAAATCGAATTATTTATATTTACATTTAGTTTAGTAGTTAATATAATTTACTAGATCAATCTTGAAACTAATAAGTGTCTACTTAACAAAAAAGAGGGAGTAGCATTAAATGAAATGGCCATAGTTAAAAGCATAGTATTTTACATTTTACAAAAAAAAATAACTCGACTACAAAGGTCATTGGCCAGAATTAAAAGGTTGGAAGTTATCTTTTGGACATAAAAATTAAAGTATATAATATAAAGTAGGTATCGTTATTTTTTATAGAATTTTTTTATTATATTGGCGAATTTGTTAAATTTTGGTACCTATGTTGTAGATATTTGATGGTCAATTGTTGAGGTTGTCATTTTTTTTACGATTGGTTACTTATTATTGTAACTTCTTTAGTATTTTTATTTTGTCGAGTCAATAAAGTTTACTATTAACATTCCATTGATGAATATATTGTATTTTTTCTACATTATTTTTGTTAGTTTGTAAACTATATTGGTTGCATAACGATTGAGCGGTTATATCGATATCGATTCTTATACGATAGCGGAACACGAACAGTATTACAATTCTATTTAAGAATTTTTTTTATAGAATTAACTTAAATTTGTTATTTTTAGATGGATTGGAACACGTAATTAAGACAATGGTCTACGAAAACAGATTTACGTTGGGTAGTTATAACTTATAACTATATAATAATAAAAGTCAAGCTTGCTATTAGAAACAATATTCTTAATTATTACATAAAATTGCAACAGGAATAATCTTTATGCAAAATTGTACATATATATGTATATATAAGATAAACTGAAATATAAATCATACATTTCAACAATTAGATAACTATATAGTTTTCATTCAATTTAAAATAATCTAGCAAAGCACTTTTGTCCATAATACTAAAATAAATGTTTTTTTCTTTCTACCTTGACTTTCGTCTTCAAATGTATAATAGAGTAAAAAATGAAATCCAATATAATGAATTTATGAAATGACAATTTCAGTCAAAATGAACTTTATGATCGCTATACCGGGTAATAATATTTTTAATATATTTAATGTAAATATGTCTACAAAGTCGTTTGATATTTAGAATGAATATATAGGACATTCTGTGTCATTCTGGGTCATCGCCCCGACTTCCTCAACATTTTTTTTAAACTTCTGTTGATCTAATATAAGACCTTCATTTTTTTTCTTTTTTTACTCATATTTAGTTCAAAAATAGAGGGTTTTTTATGTTATTTTAATCGAAAAATCGATTTCAACCAGTTTTAAAATTCTGAAATTTTAATAAAAAAATCAGAGTCTCAAACCAAATTAGTTTGGTCTAATAACGGCAATGGGTCGAGAATTATTTATTTTTGTTTTTTAACCCGAAAACAAAATGTATATTTACAGTTTTTTTATTTAAAAAAATAAATCTCTGTCCATTCCTATTATTATACCAAAACAATTTATTTGAGTCTCTTATTTTATGATAACATTTTCAGAATTTTAAAACTGGTCGAAAAAAATTTTAGGAGGTCGGGCCGATGACCACGTGGTTTAAATCAGAATGTCCCATACACTATGTTTTCGTATTCATTTCAGAGTATGCAATCCTTACTGACGATAACAGAATAGGTAACCACATTTATATATATATAAACCTTTACACATAAAAAATATATAATTACTAGAATACTAGTTTTAGTTAAAAGAAACATGTACATAAAAATGTATTTTATTTTAAATTTCAGAAATTATAAACCACCAGTTGGATATGCGACAAATGATAATACGTGAATTGCGTAAATATAAAATTTAATTTTTTTCACCGAATAATTCTTGAACTTTATTACTGAAAAGTTATAAAAAAAAACTGCATTTAAAAAGTATATTTATGTATAATATTATTGGTTTGATTTAAATATAAAGCTAGTTTATGTATAATGCTTGTGTATTTTTTGATATCTTAATGATGGTTTGCAATAATAATTATCGAATACGATGCTATTAGAAATATGTTTATGTTAATGCAGTATATTATAAATAAATTTAAAAAAATCTCATTTTCGAGTGTTCGTAACAGCTAGTATATAGCATCAGTATTCACTATATGTTTAATTATTTTATAGTTTTATTTTTTGTTCCAGCTATTCCTGTGCCTAATACACCAGACCAAAGTAATTGCGAGCTTATTGGATAGCAGTAAATAAACTTTAGAGCTTGTTTTAAATAAGAAACTTGCACCATTTCGTTGGGAAAACAGAAACGTAGAAGTTCAATGCGTCGCATTTGTTATATTTTTTTTGCATTCTAGATTTCAGAAAAAAAAATAGCTCCTCTACACATCCATGCTAAATCCAAATTTTTAACTAAATTCTTTTACATTTTTTTTAGAGAAAATTGTTAGTAATATTTTATAAGGGTTCCATTGTATGTCGGTATTACTAATACTAATATCCTACATAAGTTTTTAATTACTAGTGTTTTGACTATTTTTCAAAAAGTACTAACAAACCGTTATTCCTATTGGTTTTTTAGAATTATTTTTGATTTTAGAATTTTTAAGATACGATTTCTGATCCAAAAACTTGATACATGGATATATTGTACCATTTCTTAAAAATGTATTGCATGTAAACTTTCTGAGACTAAATCTCAAATTTTTCATTAATTGCAGTCAGTCATTTTTGTTCGAAAAATACTAAAATCATCCTCAAAGCATTTTGACATTTCATGACTAAGTTTTTTTTATATAGAATTGCGAAAATGATTTAAAGTCAAAACTCGAGTGAAATCCTTAAAATTGGAGATTTTGATTATACGTATTTCTTTATTGTCAAAGATATAAAAAAAAATTTAAATAACTAATTCTACAAGTAATTTTATCACTTTTATTGATATAAATTCCTGTAGATCTGTGACCTCTCCGTCTCCCCTATGCTTTCTTTCTGTTATGCCCCCACCCTACTGTACTAGTACTCTCGGACAAAATCACTTTCAAATAAACGCTTTGATGCTAATTTGTAAATATTGCACCTCAATTTAATTCTTCCTTACTTTTCTGGGTTTTCCTATGCTTGGATTAAAAAAAATAACTATTGATTCGCATTAAAGCATTTATTTCTAAGTGATTTTATCACTTTCAGTTGTAATAATACCTGTAAACCTCCCCGTTTACACTATTCCCCAACCCCACTGTATTTTGAATTTCAAGTATATAAGTAAGATTTCCTTCTGGTTCTACAAAAAAATTAGCAATAATAAAGTACTTTAAGTTACAATGTTATGTTATGTTTTAAGAGCAATTATTTTTTTTTTGTTATCAACACTTTTGTTTATTAATTTTTGCAGAATATATGAACATAAATTTGCATAATATGGGAGAAGCGAGACGAAAAATTACTAGGAAAGCTTTAAAACAAATAATTATGGATGAATTAAGTAATTAATTATATAAAATTGTAATGTTATCGTTTTTTTTATCTAATGTATGCATAGTGGATCAAATGGGTAGGTTTACTAATTAAAATAATTGATATAATATATATTTATATATATATATATATAAACTTTCTTTTTCAATAGCATTTTTTTTATAACTCTAATGAGGATACCTAAGGCTTAATATTTTCAGACAAACATGTATGAAAGTTGAATTTTACTATAGTAATACAAATCTAGTTGTTTTATTAAACTAAAATTATAGAGCTTACACAATACACATAATATGTTTGGCTAGTCTCATTTTCTAACATACAATATTTGGCAAGTAATATAAATATTGAAATTATTTCCCTTTTTAATTTAGTTCTTGTTCTTTAATTGCCAATAACTTATTTTGGTCCAAAAACCAACCTAACCGAAAATTTAGAAGATATAATTATTTATTATAGAAAAACATAAGAGAAAGATATTATCAACTTTTTCTTACTAATAAAAATATACTTGTACTTCCCTGATGAAATAAATATAATAATAATAGTAAGTAATTCTGAAATCTACTTGTTTATGTGTTTTTCACAAAAAAATACTAAAAATGTCTGAATAAAGTTTCACTTCCCACTCACTTACTCGTAACATACACACTGGTTATTTTTAATGTAAAAGTTTTTAAGATATGAACAAATTTAATCATGAAACATGTATAGTTTTATTTCATGTGGTGTATTGTATACTATTTCAATGATCAATAGGGTGTGATATTATCCACTGTCCCACGGTGTTAAATTATTATTAATTTATTAATTATTATCAAGTGATTGAGCTGTGGCTCTCGCGATAAAAAAAAAACCGTAGCTAGTTATCAACATTTTTCAATATTAAAAAATAATTCTTTTATTTTTTAGATCGGAAGCAACCGGTTTTCTATTTTAGCCAGATGTGTTGTTTTATAGGATTGTGGATGAGTACACAAACCCCATCATTATATACAAGAACTACTCAGGCTGGCTTTAAGAATGTTTGTACCATAACGGACAGAGCCGACCATGTCATTAAATACAGGTCTTTGAATGGCATCATTTGTCAAGTAGACGTCAATAACATTGATGAGATAATAATAGAATTAAAAGTACAAATACTTGAAGAACAGTTACATTAGACCAGAAATCAAACATTAAATCAAATGCGTATATCTTCTAAATTATTTAGTAGTGTTTTTATTTTATTTAAATAGTTATTAAATATTGAACTAGTAACCAAATAGTCAATTAATGTATTTCATAATAAGACATTTTGCTATCTATTATAAACATATTTGATAATTGTATAGTATTATGATGTTGCGTACAACTTTATTTTGATAAGGAATAGATGTAAGGACTCTAGTTTGTTTTTCTTTTACTTCTCTCTACTAGACAAATCATGCTCAAAGAGAGCCAATCACTAACACATTGCAACCATATCCACTCAGCCACTCATCACGAACTTTAAATAATTAATATATATTTAATATAACAAAAGCGAATGGTAATATAGGGAGTGCAAAAACTAGACCGTCTACACGACATCACGACGGCCGACCGATTGATAAGTATATTTATACGATAAGATATCAAAAACAAAGTTAAAATTCTCGGTCATCCTGTCTTCAAAATGACCTCATTTAAGTATACTATAAAACTGAATTCTTATAAATTCAGTAGCATATAATGGATCATAAACAAAACAAAAAAACAATATTTCTAAATATATCAATAAACAAAATAACAAATAGGAACTCAACTGATAACATAATCTTTTAGTTATTGTGGTTTTTTTGTAACTCTTCTTGACCGCTTCTCCTCTTCAATTTGTATGGTAGGTGGATTGGTAACTTCTTCAATTTCTCCTCCCGTCTTTTCTTCCTCATTTTTATCAACATCTCCATCGTCTTCCTTCCTTAGTAAATAATTTGAGATCAGATACGTGTGCAGTTGTACTATACTGATGGCCACTCCGTTGTATCAGTTCTTCGAGTCGTTAAGACGTGTCCCCGGCTAGTACTTGTTTGATCACCAGAGGACTTCTGTACTTAGGTTATAGTTTGGTTGGTTTTCCTGTGTGTTCGGGTACTCTTTTCGAGTATAAAATTTTTCTTACTGAATATGTTATATTAGTATTTAATGAATTATACCTCTGTTTTCATATCTCATGTTCTTTTGTTATGCGGTCTTTGGCTTTGGCTTGTAGGGTTTGACTATCTGTCCATAACTGATTATTATTGAGTAAGCTAGTCAAGGCTCCGTCCTCTACATTAGCATAGTATCCAAAAAGGGTGTATAATGGTGTATCTCCAATAGTTTTGTTGATTGAGTTATTGAATTGACTCTATACTCGCCGAAGTTCTTTATCCCATGTCATTTCCTAATTCATATTAGCTTGTATAACTGGTAGTAGCGTGTCATTAGTACGTCCCACTTAGCCATTTGCTTATGGGTGTCTTACCGAAATGATTGAATGAGTTATCACATTAGAAACTCCATACTCATTAAAAGATTTACTAGTGAAACACGTATCTCTATCCATGATGACCTTCTGAGGTAGAACATAATCCAAAACTTTTGAAACAAGTTAGGAGCACCTGGGTCCTTGTGTTTTTTTAACTGCATACAACTTTACATATTTTGTTAAGTTATCACTAATTACCAATTCACAAATGTGCCTATATGATCGATATTTAGAATCTGGAACTGCCTCCTTCCTGGTGTAATAGGATGCAGTTCTCCGGGTATTTTCCCTCGTGGAATTTTAAACAACAAACATGCGGGACAACAATTTATATGGTATCGTACATAGCGCCACATTCCCGAAAAGTATTATTTTCCCTGGATTTTTGATAATGTTTGATCCACTGCTCCATATCCTCCCAGTTCATGGTGCTTGACAAGGATGCTCTTCTGTATATATCTTAGTACTTCCCATAACAGTTTTTTCCACAAATTTAAAAATGACATCATAACCAAATATTAGCTAAGTTTTTGACTTAAAAAAAAGAGGCATTATCGCGATCCGTGAAAGTTTGGCCAACTAATAGATCATAATTTTGAGCTAAATCGTCCATTACCAAATAGTTCAATTACCTCTGTCATCATATCGATTAGCAAATTGGCTGTAGTAATGCCACTCACCACATTTATTGAGTTGGTGTCATATACAGTCAGTTGTCGCGTTGTAGGTGAAACGTCTAGAATCATTTGCTTGGCTACGCAGGTCTTTAGCAGACACACACCCCATCCAGTGTCTATTAGCCTTTGCATTTACTTTTGGTCATTAATTTTTACCATTTTAATATAATTCGACTTACTTGAGTCTAAGGTCACAAAACTGAACGCTGGCTGGTTTGCTTTACAGTATTTTTTAGTGTGGCCTTCCTGCGAACACAAGGTGCACTTAAGGGGTTTACGTGGAGCTTTACAGTCCTTATTGATATGACCAGTTAACTGTCATTTATAATAATATAAATGGGCGGTGAACACACTTAGGAAAAAAGGGCCGAGAACACTCATTTTGTAACTACTAATATGAATTTCCCAATCGTCCAGAATTCATTTTTAAGCAGTTGGTTTTAAGAGAAAACCAAAAATAACTAAATTGTATACACATTCATTGTCAATTAAGTAATTTGCACTTAACTATCTCCATCCTCACGACTACCCGTCTCCACTGCTCGGATTTTATTTTTATACAATGTAAAATAATGGCGAAAAACTTTGTAGTATAAAATATGAACGATTTATTTATCGATATATTGGCAAATACAATAATTAATTCATTAATGTAAACATTAGTAAGATCAGTGATTGTAAAACTAACAACTGGGTAATAAATAGTCTAGACCCTGCGTCAGAATAATGTAAATATGTAATCACATAAAAAAATACCAACTGTGTAAATAAATTAATATAGGAATCTTGCAAAATATTTTTCGATTTTACTGTTTCAGTCATAATATAATCCGATAAACAAGACACAAGACAATCACTTCAAAAGAGTTGTTTTGACAGGTGGATTATTTGAGTAATTATATCAAGCTTAATTGTTGTAAGTGCGCATTTAATTAGATATGTGTAAATTATAAAATACTTTACTCATATAAACGTATTTAATATGCGAAATTGTTTTATATATTTTCTAACTACAATGCCGTTTAAGTTCTCGCTATTTTAGAGCTTTAAATAAATTACAAATGTAAAACATTTTTTTTTTTTAAATATTAAATGAATACATGATTTAATAATTTTGGTAATATCAGGACAATGTACCAACAAATTGGTTAAGAGTTCGGTAAATGCAATTTTTCGAAAACATTTAATCAAAAACTAAAAAGTCTTATGTATTATTCATAGCCGTTAAATGATTTTTCCGATACCGATTATTTTATTATAAAACCTTACTAGATAAATAAAAAGTGATTGCTACTATTAAAAATCACTTTGCTCAAGAAAAATCGGTATCTGTTATGTTGAATATCGATTCTGGACGATACCCAGCTCTCTTAAGAGCTAAAAGTAGTCGTGTGAAAAATAGTGTATAGTAATTATTATTAAGACATTTCTGATTGTTGGTAAATTTTTTTATAGGACTATCATAGCGTTTCATTTGAAAAATACAGCTTTTTAATCAATTTATGATATTGAAATTCTTAAATATAGTCGACACATTTTCTGAATCGTGTATAATATTTTTTTTTTTTTAGAAATAGCGCTTACACATGTATGGTTAATAGCAACAAATTATTATCAGCGAAACAAATTACACATTTTAAAGAGAAATAGGTAATTTTTTGTGAACTGAATAGATAGCCCATTAATATACTTCCATGTAAGCTTTTTTATTTGATAAATGAATAAATAAATTTAGTGGTCTAGAAGATATTGTTTGTCTAGTAAAAAAAAAAAAATATATACCAAACAAAAACATACTCGTAAAATCAAAACTTTCTCATATCCGTACCAAAGATGACTTGTGACCAATATTAATTAATTTTTTGTTTTTTTTTTATTTTAGATAAGAATGAAAATAATTTGTGTTTTATTATCAATTGTGTTTGTCAATATTTTGGCAAATATAAGTAAATACTATACATTCACACTTATTTGAGGTAGTTAAAAATCGAATAAAAAATTTATTTTTTAAAAATACTTTTTTTTACAGCACCCTATTTGAGGTTGACCGCACTTACAAGTCAGTAAAATTTTTCATCGCACAGTCTAAAGTTTGGTGTTTTTAAATATAACTGTTTACACTTATAATTTTAAAATTTACCACAGATAAACACATCGAGCTAGCTTATGAATATTTTGATGATATAAAAGGAAGTAAGATATATTAAAATTAATATACTACCGAATAATTGTACTTCATGATTCCCTGAATGACAGACAATTTATAAATTAAAACCTATTGTATTAACTATAACGATGAGAGTACGAGAGGAATTTATCATTATTGTACCAAACACCGTAAAAATCTATTCGTTATTATTTTAATTTAAATAATCAGTTTCTATAATTTACTAAAAGCATACTTGGCAGTGAACTTGATAATGATTTTGTTGGAAGTATATTTTTTAGACTAATACACTATTATTGTCTTTCGTGATTCCCTGATTGTAAACGATTTATAAAATTTTAGTTTAGGATTACTCTTACTATTTAGGATTAGAGTGCGTGAGATTTATAGTACTGGTGTAATAAATACTGTAAGAGTTTGCGAGTTAAATATTTAGTCGTTTTAATTTTTATTTAAAGTAGCCTTTTCTATAGTTAACTAAAAGCACGCTTAAAACTAGACAATCTAACCCAAATGGGGGAGTAGCGTTAAGTTGATAGTCATCGTCAAAGGTCTTATATTGCTGATTTTTTATCTATTATGATTTTATTTGAAATTTTTTTTACAGCTCAATTTATTTTTTGTTTTTTCTAGATGGACTGGAATATGTAATTAAAGCAATTGTCTGTGAAAATTTATATACGATGGGTATATATTATTATAATAACATAATATACAAATTAAACTCGCTGATAGAAAAAATATTTGAAGTGAATATCAGAATTACAACAAAAATTAATCCCCATACAAATTTATCGGTGCTACAAGTCTCAAAATTTAGACATTATGATTCTGTTGAAATATTACATTCCATTTAATAAAATCGAGCAAAACACTTTTGACTAAATAATTAATATTTACCTATGATTTTTCTACCATGACATCTTCTTATTTATATTAAATTTATAAAATACTCAATACAGTACAATTAATTTATATAATGTAAATTTCAGATGAAATGAATTTTATGATCGCTGTGCCCGGTAATAAATTTTATTTCATTAAATGAAAATTTATCCATACAATCGTTAGACATTCATTGAATATAATATATAATGTTCTTATTCACTTTAGATAAAGCAAGTATTGCTGCCAATCAGAGACTGGGTAACAACATTTATATAAACAATTCTTTACACTGGTTCATTATTTGTACACATTTAAAAAATTCATGGACATTTTTAATTAAATTTCAGTAGCTGTATCTCACCAGATGAATATGCAGTATCAAATAATAATAAAATTGGGTAAATTGAAAATTAAATATATCGAAGCGTTCATCAGTTCTCTAAATAGATTACTACATAGTTCTTAAGGAAAACGATAGAAACTCGGTTTAAGGACAAAGCCATAACGATTTATGTTTTTGGCCTAAGTTCTTTGTGATTATTTTAATGATAAAGCAATTACGCTGCTATTAGAAACAAATAATTATTTAATGTTTTCACAGTATTTTGTAACAATTGATCTGCCTTAGTAATCGCAGTTTTGGGTGACTATTATGGATTAAATATAATATAATCGATGTTTATTAGCTGTACTGTTATTTATTATTTGGTACTTTTTTTTGTTATAGGTATAATGCCTGAACTTAACGCTGCAAACCTATGTAATTTCAAATTTATTGGATATTAATAAATATACTATTTTATAGGATGTGATGCTTCGACTCACGCAGGGTATATGGTGGTTAAGGGGGTTATTATGGGGCTTATTAAGGGGTTAAAGATGGTTCTTATGTTTATTACTATATATTGATAATACTATATATAATTGAAGTCCTACACGAGTTTAGAAGTATTTCAAATATTTTTCAAAAAATTATAGAACTAAATTAAGTTGAAAAATACCGAAATGATTAGGGTGTCTCTTTAACTAGAATTTTAAAAGAGTGATATGATTTTTTTTTTTGTTTCAGCCTTAAAGAGTATTATTAATAATATACGTATTCTGATCTAATGAGCTACCACATGACGATGTCGGTTCATTGCATTGCCTAAAAATATAGTGTAGTTTAACTTTTTGCGATTTTTCAACCAGATTTTCTGGAATTTTATTCAACAATTTCCAACAATTTTTTTTCTAACAGAAGCTAGAATCATCCACAGGTGTTTTTTTTTAATATTTTGACATATAAAAAATATTATTTTTTAGATTAAAACTCGAATTAAGACCCTACATTTCATAGTTATAATAATAATACGAATTTCTTTGTTAGAAAGGTGTAAAATTCAAAATTGTATTCACAAAAAAAAAACGCTCAACTATAAAAAAAAAAAATATCTCATTAGAATGCAATTGGAAATCGCAATTGAACGTTGCTAATTTTCTGATACTCTAATTTTTAGGTTGTTCCCTGAACTCTATCGCTCCTCATCACTCTTAAGTTGATTACAATGTTAATTTGTTATATTAAGTTCTTCGAGTTTAAATATACTAATCGCAGGTTGTACAAACAATTTGTAATGTCACAATTCTTTGATATAGAATTCATTTATTCTTCACTTTTTATTTGCATTATTTGTTTTAAACACCGTTATTAAATCATTTTTGTAGATTTCGGAAACCTAAATTTGCCCGCTCTTGCCGCATGGAGAAGACGTTTTACTAGAAATGCTTTAAGAAATATAATTCGCCGTGAATTAAGTAAATATTACAATAGAGATGTAACGTTATTGCTTTTTTAACTATTTTATGTATGAATACTTATAATGGTTAGGTATGCTAATTATAATGATTGATTTAAACAAACATTTATTTTAGAAAAAACGATTTTTTCATTTAACTCGAAGTATAATACCGTATGCTTAATATCAGACGTGCATATCAATGATTAATTCTTATCACAGTAACACTCAAATTTAATTTTTTTCATTTTAATGAAACTGTACAACTATATATACAGATATATACGTTTGACTAGACTCTTTCACTATAATAATGTCTGGTTGTGTTTCTGCCATTTAGAGGAATTTTTCACTTGTTGAGCATAGCGCACTATGTAAAATACATTATTCCTTTTGATGTTTGTTTAATAACAAATGTGTTTTGCTTTAATTATGAATGTGTAGTAACTAGTAAAGCCACTAAAATAAATTGAGTAATTAAAAAAAAATTGTTTTCAGTTAGAAACGAAACGGAAAGAGGACCAGAACGCGTCACTTTTAATCAGAAGTGTCGGTTTTTAGGATTGTGGATGAGTATAATTGTTCCAACATTATATACAAAATCAACTCACACCGGTCCCAATAATGATTGTGTCATAACGGATATAGCCAATCATATTACCATTTACAGATCCATTGAGGGCAAATATTGGCAAGTAGACGCCAATGACATCAATCATAGAATCATACAACTTGATGAACAGTTATATTAATTATTTAGACCTTGTAACATCGGTCGATCTTTTATAAAATTGGGAGTAGTATAATACTATGGTTTTTTAATTTAAATAATTTTTAAAAATTGATCTAATATCTAAGTTGTCAATTTTTTTATCGTACTTCGTAATAAATAGTTTTACTCATTGTTATATACACATTTTTTGCTGTGTATAATTATTATTATTGCTATGCCTTTACCGGAAGTAGGGTTTAAGGCCTCGTTTTGTCGCCTACGAAAACGAAAGTGTACTTATGGCTAATGCCTTATCGGCTTAATACAAAATTTAAAAAAAATATAATATAATTTTTACTAGGGCCCTAAGAAATACGCTCAATTGTCAAGTCAAGTGAGTCATTAAATAAAGTGTAATTTTATTTAGCAAAGCTAAAGACCAAGAAAAGTATCTTAATCCCTTTTCCCTAAAAAGGGAAAAAGCTAACTGTGGAAATCGGCCGATGAAGAAGCCAAGACTATTGTGTTTAAGTTGTTTAAAATAATATACTGAGAGTGCAGGTAATCAAATATTTTTTTTTATATTTAAAAATATATCATCATCGTCAGCTTAACCGGCCTTTAAAACCTAACGCTACCACGGTGAAATGATGGGTTCTAGCTCACTGTCCGGGACGGGTTGTCACTTGACAGTCCGTCATCGGTAATTATTAACTCTTTTTGTTCTCATAACTTTATATCAACAATGACTTGGATGTAATATAAAATAATAGCAAAGCCTTATAAAATATGTAAGATTTTTCTATCGATATATTAGCAAACGCAATAATTTAATTCAAAATTAAATTCATTTTTTGATGAGTGGTTGTAAAACCAATAACTATAAAAATATCCTAGACCTTGCGTCAGAGTAACATAAACGTGTAATCGTATCAAACCAACTATGTAAATAAATTAATATAGGCACCTTGTCAAATATATTTAGATTTTACTGTTTCGGTCGAAGTATAAGCCCCTAAACAAGTCACTTCAAAACAGTTAGTTTAACAGGCGGATTTTCGTATTGCAAATTACTGTATTATTCCAATTATTTAACAAATAATATCAAGCTTAAATATTGTAAGTGCGCTTTTGATCAGATACGTGCAAATTAAGTTAAAATCAAAAAGTCTTGTACAGTATACATAGGCGTTAACTGATTTTTTCGATATCGGTTATTTTATTATGAAATATGAGTAGATAAATGAAATGTGATTGCTACTATCAAAATTGACTTTGTTGAAGAAAAATAGGTATCTGTTATGTTCAAAACATTGGTTACTCTATAGTCTGTATACTAAAAAATGTATTATATTAGGGTCAGGGTTAAGTATTTTTTAGACTGTGGCTAATACGAATTGATTATATGTTTATTTTTTATTTCAGATAAAATGAAAATAATTTGCGTTTTGATATCATTTGTCTTTGTAAATGTTTCGGCTGATATAAGTAATCATTATAATTTTATACTTACTGAGGTGGTCAAACGTTGAATAAAAAAATGTATTATTTAATAACACTTTACTTTACAGCGCCTTATTTGCAGTTAATTGCAGTTACAAGTCAGTACATTTGTTTATCATACAAAATAAAGTTTTGGGTTTTTAAATATTACTATTTTCATAAATAATTTTAAAATGTATTATAGACAAACATATCCAGATAGCTTATCAACGTAATTATGATATAGTTGGAAGTAAGATATATTACACATGTATATTAAACATAGCAATATTGTTTTTTATGTTTCCCAGATGGTGAAACGATTTATAAAACCATACATTTTTTAACTATTTAGGATTAGAATGCGCGAGGTATACAGTACTAGTGTACATAACATCGTAAATGTTTATGGGTTCAATATGTAATCACTTATATTTATATTTAAAGTAGCTTTTTTTATAATTAACTAAAAGCACACTTAAATCCAGATCGTGACAATATAATTCAAATGGGGGAGTAGCATTTAGTTAAATGGGCATCGTCAAAAGCATGATGAAGCCTTATATTGCTGATGTTTTATCTATTATGTTTTTTTTTTTTAATTAATTTTATAGTTCAATCCTTTATTTTTTTTATTCTAGATGGATTGGAATATGTAATTAAAGCAATTGTCTGTGAAAATGTATTTACGATAGGTATATATTATTATATTATAATAGCAGTAAATACAAATAAAATTCTCTGATAGGAAAACAAATTTGCAGATAATTCCAGAATTAAAAAAATTAACCCTTATGCAAATTTATCAGTTCTATAAATCTTAAAATTTAACTATTATAGTATTGTCGTAATGGTACATTCTATTTTTTACTATAGAATATTAAGTACAACATTATTAATTTGTATAATTTAAATTTCAGAAAAAATGAATTTTATGATCGCTGTACCGGGTAATAATTTTCATTGCATTAAAAGAAAATGTGTTCACACAAGTGTTTAATATCCATTAAGTATAGAATAATTTGGTGTTCATTTCAGAGTATGCAAGCATTGCTGTCAATCAGAGATTGGGTAAACACAAATTTAATTTACAAAACTTTACACAGATTTATTGTATATATATATATATATGTATACAGAGTGTAATGTAAAGTTCTACCGAGTTTCAAATGAGATATTCAGGATGCTCTATGGGTACAATAAATGGTATTCATTTTTTTTTTATTTTAAAACTATTTAAAATAGAACTGGTATCTTATTAAAAAATTGTCTTACAAAAAAAAATAATTTCAGATTTGAAAACAGGAAAAAAAGTCTTTTTGAATTGATATGTAACATGATTTTTTGGTATCTGTCCACACATACAGGGCGGCCACCGAGTGGCCGGCATGTGACTAAAACTAACATATGGCATGTAACATATAATTTAATTTAAAATAACACCTCGGAACTAGAATAAAATAATAACTGATAATGATGTGTCACTTGTCATATGTTGGTTTTGGTCACAACTCAGCGGCCCCTTAGTGGACGCAAATGTGGCCAGATACAAAAAAATCATGTTACATATCAATTCAACACGATTTTTTCTTCCGATTTCAAATCTGAAGTTATTTTTTTCGTAAGAAAATTTTACATAAGATACCAGTTCTATTTTAAATAGTTTTAAAATTAAAAAAAAAATTAATACCATTTATTGTACCCATAGAGCATCCTGAATGTCTCATTTGAGATTGGTAGAACTCTATATTATACCCTGTACATACATAAAAAAACCTATACAGTTCAGGGTTCAGGGTCTACAAGAATTTTTATAGCTGAAAATGATAAAATCACTTTTAAGTAAACGCTTCGGTGCAAACTTATGGATAGTAGGCTAACCTATAGATGTTTATCGGTGGTACTATGTTTAAAAAATATTTCATACAAGTTTGGAACTCATTCGACTATGAGTCTATTTAGTTGAAAAATGTGTACATTTTTTGAGCGTTTTTCTCAATTTTAAAAGAGAAGGGGTGAATTTTTTTTAAATTTTAGACCCAATAAAGTATCTTTCAAGTACGATTTCTGATCTACAGAGTTGCTACATGGAGAAATTGGTTCAGCGGTTTAAAAAATAGTGGGTCCAGACATAAAAATAAAAATAAATCACATAGCACATCGTTGTCAATACAGCTCCGCATCGAAGCTAAAATAATTTACTCAAGTATGGTTTTAGCTATAAGAAACATGTATTTTTATTTAAATTTCAGCATCTATAGATCACCAGTTTAGTATGCAAGGACAAATATTGATGAAATTGGGTAAATTTAAAATTTCATATTTTTAAGCGTTCAACCGTTTTCAAAGTTGATTGCTACTTAGTTCTTAAGAAAAACTATAAAAGCTCGGTTTACGTCATAAAAGTATATGTTTTTGGTCTACTCACTTAATGGTCATTCGAAGTATAGTCAAATATTATGTTGTAAATGATAATTTAATGTTAACACAATATTTTGTTATCTCGCTAATCTTTGAGTGACTGCTGGGGATTGATGAGTCGGTGTTCATTATCTGTATTGTTAATTACAAATTTTTTTGTTATAGGCATTCCTGTACCTAACCCTGCAAACTTACGTAATTGTAAACTTATTGGATAGTAATTAGTAGACTATAGTATAGGCTTGTTTTTAAATGAAATTTGCATTGGTATATGTGCTGTTTGTTTTCCACACAGTTATTTAATCATTTTTACAGATTTCGGTAACCTAAATTTAACCAATCTTGGAGTATTGAGAAGACGTTTTACTAAAAAAGCTTTAACAAATATAATCCGCCGTGAATTAAGTAAATATTACTAAAGAGTTGTTTGATATAATATTATGTTTGACTAGCTTGTGACATTTAAATTAGCATACATAGTCTTTTTTATTAAGCTCTAGTTTTCAAGCTATCAGTTAACTAAATGGGGTTTCTTGGCAGTTTACCCAGTATGTGATGACTAGACAATTTGTACATACAAACAATAACTAGTCGCCACTTGCATATTATATTATATGTAACTTTTCTTAAAATACACAATTCACTTCAAAGTTATATTTAACAGGCGAAATTTTGGTTTCCGGAATTGCAAAACTTAAAACATTTTACATTTTTAATAAATCTTATTATATAACGAAGCACGAATTTTTATTTATGAAATTTCTTTTATATTATTTCGAAGAATAATAAATTATGATTTAATATTGAGAGGCCGGTATAAAATTATTGACTTGTTAAGCATAGCGCACTATATTATATTGCTTCTTATGATGTTTTTTTAATACATGATGTAAAGCAACTAATATAAATTTGCAGTTAAAAGAAAATATGTTTTTTTATATGTCAGTTGGAAATGAAACGGATGGAGAACCAGAACGAGTGACTTTTAGTGAGAAGTGTCTTTTTTTAGGATTGTGGATGAGCACAAATATTCCAACATTTTATACAAAATCTGCTGTGACTGGCACTAATAGTGATTGTGTCATAACGGATATAGCCAATCATGTTATGGTGTACAGATCCATTGAGGGCAAATATTGGCAAGTAGACGCCAATGACATCAATCATCGAATAATACTACTTGATGAACAGTTATATTAATTTAGACCTGTTATCATAAGTCAAACTCTTCTAAAATTAGGTATTATATTATAGTACTGTTGTTTTTGAATTTAAATCATTTCTGCGTATTGCTCCAATATAAAAATTGTAATTTCATATAATGTATGTCATAATAAATAGGTTTCCTCACGATTATATACACATTTGTTGTCGTATGCCTTTATTTTGACCTGAAGTAGGTTTTAAGGCCTACGAAGAGTATGGTTGGTGGAAGTGTACTGACGACAAGTTAGTTATTTATTATAGTCAAGTATAATTGTATTTCAATACCAACCAAATTTAATTTGTCCTTTTTTTATGTACAATTTACTTTTATTATCCATGATTACATCGTTTTGAATAAATTCAGTTTTCAACTTACTTAAAAATTTGTAATCCATAATTTTACATTCATTCAAACGTATATGTTATTTTTTTTTATATTATTTATTCTTAATTTTATTTTGTATGATTAATTTTTCTAGATTAAATTATATTTTCATTTATAAATACTGTTATACTGTATTCAATGATATAAATAAATAAATTAGGATGTAAGAAATCAAAATAATTTATTTTATTATGTCCAGAATCCAAGTCCATTCATCCTCGAAATCATCAGTTACCTTGTGAAGTTAATCCAACTTCTTTAGCAATCGCAAAATATGTTACAGATGTAATACCTAATACAAATATGTATATTGTATGATTTTGTTCAATAAAATTAATTGTCCAGAGATGAAAACAGCTATTAACCGTGTTTCAAGTCTATTATTTCTATAATATTTTTTGCAACCTATACACCTGCATGTACAAGTACTGAATCTAGGTTAAATACAATAGTATGCGGGTATTGTTATTTTCGCTAACACTGATGATTATGTTTTCCTCCTTTTTTTTGTTCAAACAACAACCTACTAGAAAGACTTTTTAAAGTGCTTTCTGTCTTTTGACGTTCGAGATAGCTCTGCAGCTACAGACTACAGACTAATTCATAGCTTGCGCCCTTTTATTAAACTCGTTTTTTCTTAAAATATTTACAACTTAGTTGTTTTTCTTTTATTCTTGGTTTGTCAATGTTTAATAACGGTACTATGTTTCAAAAATATTCCATACAATGTTGGAACTAATTCGACTAATTTAAAAAAGTTATGGAACATCATAATTTTAAGTTGAAAAATATGTTGTTTTTCTCGATTTTGAAGGGAAAGAGAGTTTTTTTTAATTTTTGGCCCAACGATTGTTCAGAAGTTAGCAAAAGTTGGCGAACATAATATTGTGTTAGTCAACGTATAAAAAGCGATGTGTCAATTCTAAAGAGTGTGACACATTCTAAAAGTGCGAAACATTTATATTGTTTTAATTTTTATAATTATTTTTATCACTTAAAAATAAAACAAACCGAGTAAAGTTGATTACGTTTGGCATAAAATATTTTACATACTGTTAAGTAATTTGTATTGTTTTAATTTCTGTTGTACTGCAAATTATATGTCTGCAGTAGATATACATACATTTATATGCATGTACGTATGTATGTTATGACCTATGAAAATCAATATACAATCAAATAAAACCCCTAAATTTTTTATTTCTATAACTTGCTAAAGATGATAACCCTTAATATTATAATTAAAGTAGATATTGGAGCAGGAACGATTATAGGATACAAATTTACATTAAGGGATAATCTTTCACTATCTTTACACCGCTTGGTATGTACATGTGTATAATATTAAGTAGGTATTTAAAAACTGTCTGTATACTGTATACTGTGCTTCAGTACATTCTATTGTAATTTTGTTTATATATTATTTGAAGAATAAAACTTTTATAGTTTTATAAATTACTTATGTTAAATCATTTGGTAAATTGAAATTCGCTGCTTTATCTCTTTGTTTGTCAATCATAGACGATGTTACTCAAGAACGAAGCTGTTCATCATGATTGTTTTATCATCATCATTATGAGTAATGATGTACTCTAAATTTATTTTCGGAGAATACTCCAGTTAGCGAGGAAAATATTCGAACCATATAATATTATGGCCATTAAGATCTTAAATAATATCAATGCAACCTTTTCGCATCATCTGTAGAATCCGATTAATTGTATGAGACACTATAAAAAAAAAACAATCGTACCTATTTAAGTGATGTCTCTTTTATGAGGACTTGAATTTAATTATGTATTATTTTCCTATGTGTTTAACAGTTTAACTTCATAAATCTTCTTACTTTCAGACTAGTCTAACTCACTAAGACAACTAGCAATAATAAAAGCAGGAAAACAATTTAGGAAAATTATTATCAAAATATTAATAAGCAACAAATGTCTTCATAAGCATAAGCAAAATCGTTTATTGTGAAATATATTAAACTAATTGACAAATATTTTAATATTAGTGCAATATGAAAAAATTGTTTTAACATTATTAAAATAGTATTATATAATTCAGAAGAAATATAATATTAATAATTGGTACAAATAATTGTATAACTGTTTCTCAAGTGCGAATATTTGCTTCGATGGATATGTATTTTGTATCACGATATTGGATGTATCCATTAAGGTACAAACACTGTTAGAGTCAGTCTAAGTAATGGCTATACTGTTCCTCGAGTAGCTGTGCTTTTAGTTCTATTATTTTATTATCAATGTCAACGGCATCTACTTGCCAAAGTACGCCATTAAAGGATCTGTATTTTGTTAAATGATCGGAACCATCCATTAAGACACAAACACCATTATTTTCAGTCTTAATACCTGTTATATATAATGATGGGATTTTTGTACTCATCCACAATCCTATAAAACAACACAGCTTACCAAATCGATGTATCTGGCCTAAACTGAAAACTGGTTCTTTCGAGGCTAAAAAATTAAAAGAATTTTTTATTTAATTTACATATTTTGCTCACTTGCTACTACTTGTATAATTTATTATGGTTAAATCGCTGATGCACACTTCACTCAATACCATATAGGGTTTAATCAGTTATTAAATATTTGTTGAGTAGTGATTTTGTGCAATATGATCTCATATTTTGATAAACTCTTATGTTTTAAACCTCCCCCGCTCAGTTAGTTATTTTCATCTTTTAACTTTTGAAATTTAAATAGTAACGTATACATTTTATTAACTTATTAATTAATTTAAAAATACTGAACATTTTGACCAGTTTAGAATAATTATTCATAATGTTATTTAAGTTTAAAGTTTAGCATAGGAGGATGTCTAGGGTGGTGGTTAGTTTAATTTTATCTGTGCGCATTACTTAACCGCACTGCCCCTCCTGTCATAACTTTTAAACTTTATAACGTTAACAAAAAAAAAAAATTATCCAGAACTGGTTATCGTCAAGTAAAATATTTTAGTAAATTTAATATAAAAATAACTAATTGAGTAGGGGGTTAAAAACACGAAATTTTGTAAAAAACTAAGGTCACATTGTATAAAAACACTACAGAAATATTGAGTGGTTTACTTTAAAATAATCAACCTGCATTTTTTTCAATGAGTACTTTAGTAAACAATCATTAAGTTAAGAAAAAAGTATTTTTGTTAATTATTCCAAATAGAAATGTTTTCAGAAATCAATGACATACAACTCTCTATCGATATTTACCTAATATCTTGAGAATTATTTTTCTTAAAGCTTCTCTAGTGTAGCGTCTCCTTGCCTTTCCTAGTTCAGTCAAGTTGGAGTTTCGAAAATCTGCAAAAATCAATAAATAACCTGCCATTAATATTGAAAATAGAAGAAGGTATTCTTTCTGTACTTAAAACTAAAGGCGCTTGTAATGCATTAACATTGTATTCAACTTTGAGTTGAATGAAAGGGTACAGAGCATGACCTACAAATTAGAGCATCCGACCACTGCAGTATTTAATTTCAATATTCTATCATATTATAACAAATATAATATATTTCAAAAAAAATTGTTTTTAATTTTATGAATTTTGGACACTGTGGTTTTTAGTAAATAAAAAAAATTGTTTCCACCATTATAGGCAAAAAAAAAATACAACTTCGAAATGTAGAGGTATAATTGATTGTGAATCATTTCCGTTGTTTCAAAAGAAAAGCCATCAAATTTATTGTGTAAAACTAATTATATACAAATCAAATTACATCTTCAAAACAAGCATTAAGGTCTAATTATTACTATACATTAAATTTGTGATTACTTTGGTATGCAGCATCAGGCATAGGAATAGCTGTAAAACAAAAATATTAAATATCAAACAACTACCTATACAGTTACATAACTTTACTCTAAAACTGCGATTAATTTGACCAATTTTATTCAATGTAAAGTATGGTATTTGCATTCAATTATTTCCAATAGCAACGTTTGAATTACAAATTTAAATTATGTTTTGAATGGCCATCAAAAGCATATTATGAATTTGAACTTGTATCAAATAAAAAAATATTGAAGCTTACACTATATACTATATTTGCGGTTACTTCTACTTGAATATAAAGTTTAAATGGTTCCTAAACTTTACTGTATATTAACCGCAAGCTTTGTAAATAATGTAATAGCAAATTGTTGTAAGTTTGCTTTCATACTACTCCTTAGATACTAAGTAATCATCAATATTATGAAAGTTGTTCACTAAGAAATGATAAATTGTATAATTACATAATGCAGAAGTTATTTCAACTCTCATAAATCTCTGGCATTCTATGGATCCTAATATTAAAAACAAAATATATATTTAATAGACATGTTTCTTACGTTTGAAATTGAATATATTAGTATGTGCATATATTTTGTAATATTTATAAACAATGAATCTGCGTGAAGAGTTGTAAAATATAAATGCGGTTACCCGATACGTTGGTAAGGCTTGCTTTCTCTGAAACGAATACAAAAACATTTTAAAATTAATGAATAGGCGTCCAACAAGCGTGTGGAAATACTTCCATAAAATACAATGATTATATTTACCCGGTACAGCGATCATAAAATTCATTTCGTCTAAAGTTAACATTACATACATTAATAATACTGCATTTTATTTTATATTCAATATACATTAGAAGCGAAGATGTTGCAATAGAAAACATGTCTGTTAGTAATTCGGAAGAAAGTGGTTATGATTATAATAACATATCTAAGCTGTTTATTTCATATAAATTGAAAACTTTATGATAGTAAAAAGACTGAATTAAATTAAATGTTGCTTCAGGATGAGGGGGAAACAGCCAACAGCAGTTTTGTTTTCCTAAAGTTTCCGTTTAGGTAATATAGTAAAATTTAGGATATATACCATTGATAAACGTATTTATTTTTTCTATGTTCATTAAACTTTTAAATTATTTTTCTACTAACCCATTGAAAATCCATTTCCATTAACAATTCTTTTTATTACATACTCCAATCCATCTGGAATAAACAAATAAATGTTTGAGGTGTACATTAACCGATTTTAAATAAATCATAATAAATAAAAACTGGTCAGAATAAAACGTTCTGCTATAAGTTAAGACCATTTAGTTTAACGCTACTGCCAGTATTGTGATAATTAGTCACTATTTACAGTTGGTGTGCTTTTAGTAATTTATAGACATTTCTACTTTAAATATAAATGTCAACGATATAATTTCTTTAATGAAATATTTACACAGTGTTTGGGACACATCACCTAGTGCACTTTTAACCTTTAACTGTTAAAAAAAAAACTATAACTGTTATTTTATAAATCGTTTGACAATCAGGAAAAAAATAACTATTCGGTAGTAGATTAACTTTAAATATATCTTACTTCCTCTTGAACCAACATTATTTTCAAAAGCTAGCTGAATGTGTTTGTCTGTAGAAAATTATTTTAAAAATAAATGTAAGAACAGTAGAATTTAGAAAGTCAAAACGTTAATCTGTATGATAAAGAATGATACTAACTTGTAATGGAAACCGCCCTCATATAAGTCGCTGTAAAGAAGACATAAATATTAGAAAGGTTAAATCGATTTTTTAACTACTTAGGTAAGTATGAAATATGAATGTGTAATAATTACTTATATCTGCCCAAACAAATACAAAGGCAAACGATATTAAAACACAAGGAAGTTTCATTTTATCTGCAAATAATATTAAACATAAAATTAATTTATAGCAGTAGCAGTCACAAGAGCAGGTACTTTAACGTGCCAACATTTAAAATACAAAAGGCTTAAAATATGTTAAAAATTAAAAAGTACAGAGTTATTCCTAAAGAAGTGTGTTTGGTACATAAACGATATTCAAAATTTGTCCATACCTGATTAACAACTTTAGGAGTTTGTTAGCAATGCTTTGTTTAGCAAAATCTAAATTGTTGAACTGATAGAATTCCTAAGACAATGCACAACTTGAATGACTTTTCGAGCAAACAGTTTTAAAATGGTCTTTTGGTGCCTTGTAGATTGTCTTTTATCGCAACCGTCAAATCAATATCTAAATATAGTTAACTGGTTACATATGTATGTTCGCATTTATTTAGATTGCCGGGTTTAATGTTAAATATGATTATATATTTAGATTACCTGGCACGGGGGTTCAGACTATGTTTTTCTTAGTGATTGGTTTTACAGCCACTCGTGCGTCTAATGTTTACATTAAAGAATTTAAAATAAAATTTTATTTTTATGGTCTAACCAATGACTGTGTCAACAAATTATAAATCTTTCTATTTGTTCAACACCCAAGTTTAGCATCCATAATATTGCGATACAAGTCGACCGTTATAAGCTATCTTATGTTTGATCACTAGGTGGCCCCAATTGTTGTTCGTAATAAATCCAACTCAGACTCATCCTGGTTTCATCGGACTAATTTCCTGACCATCGGATTTCACTCACACCAAGTACATCTAATCCTGATCTTGTCATTTCCACGTTAATGTTCCTCAACTTGCCAATACATAATAATAGTTCTCAGGTTCCACGTCCCAATGTTTTTCTAAAGGTTTTTTTTGATGACGACCCAAGAAACAAGTTGTTCCTTCAACTACCGAACTGATATTTTCGAGAATATCAATGCTTAACTAGATATTTTTGTGGTGGTGTCCTTCTCCTTTCACATAGTGGTTGATAAGCCAGTAGTGGAGTATGTCCTACCTTTCATCATCAATGTATCCTTCTATTGCCGTTAATTATGCTACAGAAATCGGCAACGGCTGGTAGTACCGTTTACTGCTGCCTTTGACTACCTCCTTTCAATCGCCCTTTGCGATAAGCCGGAGTTACTGTAGACCTATTCTAAACCCCAGCCACGTGGGCTTAAAAACCTCTTAGAGTATCATGTTTCTATTTGTTAGATGTATTGATAAATACAAATTGACCACGGATCGTTTTATGATAGGCAATAGTATTTTTGAAATATAGTCGAAACATTTCTGTTATTAATACTATAAATTCGTAAGCAAGCCCCGTGGATGGTATTGATGATGCGTTAATAATTTGACCAAGTAATTTTAATTTTGGCATTTCGTTTGATATTTGCACATCCGAGCTGAGACGGGGCTAGTATGTTATTATCCACCGAAAAGCAATACCTTAACGTTGTACCAGCGTCTACTATTTCTTCTTCAGTAAAAGCTTAATATCTATTATCTAGCCAAGGTCACAGTAGACGGGCCGAAAATTAGGCAGAACGATGTAATTGATTTGTGCTACATGCTTTTAATTCGATAAACAGTTTTTAGCTTCGTTTTTAAGTATACAGTGAAGTGTTATTTTTATTTTTTGCCCATTACTCATCCGCACTCCACCTCCCGTCCTAAACGTTAAACTTCATTGAAGATTAATCAAAACTGGTTATTGATCACTCAATATTTTTATCACATCATTCTTAATTTAAAAAGCTAATTTAAAATATATGTTAGTATTTAAGTTTTTAAACTTAATAAAGTTCTAGAAAAAGATATTAATTTGAATACTGTCTTATAAAGTAAAGTGCCATAAGCTGAAATACCTCCAATAAGAAAGTCTACAAAATTGGGATTAGCTTTAAAGAAAATTGCCTGTTACAAATAGCATATATAACATTATATAGAATTTAAAAAAGTTTTGTGGTACAAAATCAATATTATTTGTAGTTAGCATAAAAATAGTTTAAAAGAAAAACCAGCACGGTAGAAATGAGTACAGTAAAGTGTTAGCATAGCTGAGATTCACCCAAGCAATAATGATTAAATTGGAATTTTCATCACTATCAAGTGCTTTGATTCGAGTCTGCTAACATAAGAATCAAACACCGTCCAAATCAAGCACAATTTAACAAATCTTACACCCCATAATAACTCCAACATACTATCTCAGATTTTTGAGTGAGCAGGAGGAAGGTGAATTTATTGCTATACGTTTTACTTAATTTGGAATTAAATACAGTTTAATTAAAAAAAAAAAAAATGCTCTAAAGATCTTATACTAGTACCGGGTGATTGGTTACCTATGACCCAGTCAAAAACTTGTAAAAAAAAAATGACTTTTCTTAATTATATTTTTTTAAAACTTTTATAGTTATTAGTTGGGATAATTGCAATATATTTGTTTTCAAATAAAACGCCATCCCTTATATGTTAAGACAGTATGACCTTAGGTTTTTCAAATGATAACGTATATACTTGATTAACTTTTTAAATTAAAATCAATTTGCTGAACATTTTGTATGTATAAATTTTGGCCATACCTGACCTTGGGATGCAAATAACATGAATTGCTAAATACTTAATACATGTGTGCGCAATAGCATGCAAGTATTTATTTTATAAAAATAAAACGTTTGTAAATAGGTAACATATTTTAGACGTATTGTATTTTATGCTATATGTCCCAGACCGCACTCCGTCTCCTGTTAATAACACCATATTCACGATAAACCGCGTGTATTTGGTAAAGTGTTATTATCATGGCTTAAGACAGCCACTGAGTTAATATTGAACAACATTTTTTTATTCAACAATAGATGCTTGAAGCACGGCACACGCACATTATTATTAGAACGTAAAATGTAGACACCAGACGACATGTATTTATAACTAAATACCTTTTATTGGTTTTTTTATAACATAAGCTATGTTAATCAAATAAAGTCGTCGGGTAAATGTTTCATGAGAATAAAAAAAAAAAAGTATTTACTTAAAATGAAAAAGTAGAATAATTAATTTCGTTTAAACACACTAGAAAGTTAAACTGGTGTTATATGAAAAATTAAAGTGCCCGCATATGAACTGTTATAAATAACTCAGCTCTTGATGTTTTAGATCTTCCATTTTATAAATTGTTTCGATGAAAGTTATAAGAAACAATACAGCTAAAACCAAGCACACCCTAAGGCCGCACAGTATGAAACACAGAGTGAGAATTTTTTCAAATTTTGGTATAGTATCCACAGGTTCAATACGTTTAATACTATTTGTGATTTATAAACATACCAGTTGAGTAAATGGGTTAATGTCAAGAAACTAAATTTTTTTTTTATAAAAATGTGGATTTTTAAAGCTATGTTGAGTTTATCGGCATCAAACTTGTTATCCCCACTCCATAGAAAAGTGTCCTCTACATTTTATTAGAACATATGGGAGGATACTGGGCAAGACGTAGAAACCAGTAAAAAGCCAATTAAGAAAAGTGATGGGAAGGGGAGCTGAGAATAATGAGTGAATTCCATGGATAGGAAACAAGGGAGGGAACATCAAGGGGGTTGTCCGAAGCCGTAATCAATATGAAATATTATAATCTATAGCCGTTGTACTGTTAACCACATATATATTATTTGACTATAAATATCAATAATAGTAATAGTTGAAAATATATGTTTGAATGCTGAAGCTGCCAGTTGTGTTTGACACATTATACCAATCAGAAGTAACTTTATTATAATTATAGTCTGAATGTATTATTGCATATTTTACATTTTTACTGTAACATTGTAGTAAGACCGAGCAAATTCTTACGAAGCCGTTGTTCTAAACATTGGCTATATTATAAATAAACGAAAAAACTTTTTTTTATTATTGCAGGGCGCCGAAAACTGAGTCAGAGTAATGTAAACATGTAATCGTACTAAAAAAACAAAAAACAGCTATTTAAATAAATTAACATAATCATCGTGCAAGTCGTAATTGGATTTTCTGATACAAGAAAGTCACTTCAAAACACTTAGTTAAACAAGAGGATATTTGTCGTACAAAGTGGAACGTTCCGAAAAAATTCGGTAATTATATCAAGCTTAAAAATCTTAAGTACGCTTTAATTTGATATGACCAAATTTTAAATTCGTATTATAATACTATTGTGCTGTCTGTTTTCTAACTTAAATACATCTGGTGTACAAACTATTTAATATCTTTCGATTTATTCACTATTTAACTTAATGTATATTGTCGATTAGATTGTAATAAAGGTTGCCTTGTAGTAATCTTGGCAAATGCACCATCCCCCGTCGTTACCTATTAAGTGATGTCACCCACTATACGAAAATCAGGCGGCCGTTAACGTCACGCGTAGTACAACCATTGTTTGTAATGATTAATATTAAGTATTAGTATTGTTTTAGACATTATATTTATATATTATAATTTTGACATGGACATGTCTTATGGCCGGGGGTCGTGCTAAACATTTTCCCGCAACGTCACGCTGGATGTCACACTCAGCATTGGCGGAGTTGAGAAGGCTGAGGATAAGAGATCAGAGAAAAGAAAAGTACCATAAGTACGTAACCAGGGTCCTATACTTCATCAGGTCCGGATTAAACCTACAGTGAGAAATGTCTTGTGGCAAAATAAAATAACTAGCTCTAGTTCTTAATTTTATTTGTTCAACTGACGAACAAATATATTATTATAATTACACGTTTAATTTTTAAATACACGTGTAATTGGCAAACGCGCGTATTTACATATTTTTCATTTTCGTTATAAATTTGAGTTTGAGTTAAACAATTTGTACAATGTTTATACTTGTGTTTGAGTTGGTATTCATTTTATTTCCAATGTTTTATCGTTATGAACCTAATAAATATGTTTTTTGTAGTTTTTAAAGGGGTTATTTCAGTATTTTATTTTAAGCTGGCAATTTTGGCTGGGGGTCAATAC